TAACATAATTTGGTTGCTATGCACTTTATAAAATTATAAGAGAATAAACTCTTAGAAGTACATTGGTGACCAAACCAATACTAGATAAAGTTCTACAATAAAATTTATCTAGTTTCTATAATCCATGCCTCATTGAAGAGTACTTTAGCCCAGCAAACAGAACTCCTCAGTCCCAAAGAATGTACTGCTACAACAACAAGCAAAACAAAAACTGTGGTTTACCAACCGAATAGTCATTTTTTTGTTCAAATTGCAACATACTAGTATGGAGGACAAGGAAAAGATCTTGTAGGTTTAAATTAAAATCTCTTTCCCCTGGATAACCTCAATTAAGTGAGCTCAACTTTAACAACTCAATTAAGTGTGTTTGCTAAATAAAAGTTTAAACATACAGAATGTTAAAATGTAAGACTGCATGATTCAGACCTCAAATTGTGGGGGAGGCGGGACACTACAAATCCTCTAAAGGTCACAATTATACCATAAGACTGCATTTATTCCATTACAAGTGTTTTACAGTGCAGTGAGACTCTCTTTATGCAACAGTTTAAAAATAAAACATTTAATGTTTCTATACTGATTTAGAAATGTATCCAATATTCAGATTTTGCACTCCATTACACTTGCAAACAATTTACTTATTCTTTCTAAATCACCTAAGGAAAACCTGAATGTTAAAATTAAGTAAATCTGGATATAAAATCTTTTTTTTTTTTTTAAGCTATCAGTGGATTAACCTCATGTGTGTTGAAGCATGGTCAGCATATTGGTAAAGTACTGATGCCAAGTAGGTCACAAGATTCTTGGTTGACATTGATACATTTGCCTGAGTCAGTGTCTTCAATTCTATCAGAGTTCATACTTTTAGTAAAGTTGAAACCAATAATGAGTATTGTTCTGTTCATCTTAAGAACTCATTAAAACCCAGCTGACAAGTGATTTTTTTTTTCTTTCACATAAACCAAGGAACAATTAATTTCCTTTTTACCACCTCACTTTTTTTTCAAAATTCTAGCAAGTGGACTTTTAGACTGCGTGAAAACTTCATGCTTTGATAACATTAATAACAATTTGTAAAAAAGCTAGCTAGCAAAAACGAACAGCTTTAGCAGAATAAACTTTTGTTCTAAAACAATATCAAAAGATCTTGCTTAACGTGGACAAGCCCCCAGCTGAGACAGGACTGAGTAAAATGTGCAATGTATTTCAATAAACTAAAATTCACAAGTGTTTACTCTTCTGTATTCTTTTATATATGATTTTTTTTTTATTTCTATTTTTTTTAATTCTGGATCATGTTGGAGTCTTACACCATTAGTCAAATATAGGCTCAGATCACCAAAGACAGAAGAGAGGCTATTTTCATAATTTTAAACCTGATCTGTTATTTAAATCTTTTTGTCTTCTGAGAACAAGATATTGAAAAATTAAATGTCTGATAACTTAATCTACACTAACACATTTCAATAAATTCAAGCAGCATTTGCTGCTGAAGTAGAACAACTGTACTGGTGGAAATCACTGGAGCAGCAAGGATTTACTGAATTCTAAACCTGTATTTGATCTCATCTACTGATGAGATTATTGATATTTTCATTTTATTCAATTAGTTCAAAGGTTAGTTCATTTAAAATTTGAGAAGCTGATTTTTAAAAATAGGTAAACAAGTGTTCCTGCTTCAATCCATAAATAAAATGAAATGCAAGAAGATGAAACTACTTGGTCTAAAATTGCAAAGGACATCCTGATGTAAACAGTTCAATTTTCTAGCTACAGATAAAATATTCTTGGTTTTACCTTTTAAAACTGATTTAACTTTTTTTGATAAACTTTTAGTTTTTTCCCCTTTAAACAGAATTTTGTGCTAAATACATAACTCATATTTCTATAATCGTGTTTGTGTACTTTAGCTGAATTTCAATCCAGATATAGCTTGACACAGAAATCGCAAATAATGAATGAATCATCTAGTAAGGAAATCCAACGCTTACCATTCTATGATTAAAAATTAAGAATACATATAAACGAATATTATACTACATAATTTAGGGGTGCATAAATACAGTTTCATTACAATACAATACCATCTGATAACTAATATACAGCCCAACAGCTTGGAGAGCAGCATCCTGCCAGTAAGTCTGTGGGAGGAAGGAGTGCTGGGGGGGGGGGGGGGGGGGGAGGGGGGGGGTGCCAATTGAGGTCCCCACAGTAAGGGAGGGAATGGGGCAGGCACTGCCCAGCTGGGGCAGGGTGGGACGGAGCCATGGGTGGCTCATCCAAGAGGTGGGGGGAAGTGGCTCCCCACTGCCACATGCAACTTCAGGGGAGGCGGGGGGGGCACATGCCCCACGGGTCTATGCATGGGGCGAGAGCAGGCTGTGCCTCCTTCCGAGTGGGGGTGAGGTGGTGGCAGCAGTGCTGGGAGGGGTGGCATGGGGAATTCTGGGGTGGCTGTAGCCATCCCTCCCAGTGCTGCCAGAGTCTGCCCCAAGTGCAACCCCCCACCAGATCAACCCCACCCCGCTACAGTGAGGGAGGGGACAGGGGCAGGTGCTGCCCATCCAGGGAACGGGTGCAAGACAGACCCATGGCCATCGGGGGGGGGGGGAGGGAGGAGAAAACGTGTGCCCCCAGATCTGCATGGGGCAGACTGGAGCTGGGGCTGCGCTGGGCTCTTCTCAAACAGGGGCTATGGAGGGGGCTGCAGCCACTGAAAACTTTGCCACAGCACCCTTCTACTGCTGCTGCATACCTGGCGCAGCCCTGGCTTGGCCCCTGTCTCCCCCCATGTACCACTAAGAGCTGGGGTTGCACCAGGCACATGGTGCCGCTGGGACAGAGCTATGGATAGAGTGCCTGCCCCTGTCCCCTCACTCTCACTGTGTGTGTTTGGGGGGGGGAAGGTGTTGATCTGCCTCCCCACACCCCTCCCCTTCCACCACAGACTTAAAGCATGGAGAGCTTTCTCCAGCTGGTATCAGAAATCTGCTTGGTATTGGCTGATTATGCCACCTTAAAAATCTGATATTGGTATCGGCCCCAAAAATCTCTATTGGTGCACCCCTAGACTTAAGACTTTTATTATGGCAGCAGACATGGCAGGAAGTGTCCAAAGGAAGATCCATGCCCCAAACAATTTTAAAAACTCAACCACCTTCTGGATAACAACCCCCTGCCCCCCCGGTGCACAGTTCTTGTTTATTACTCTGTAACAAGCCATGGCAGTATTTTCATCAGGACCAACTTATGCAATATGATAATGCTGTCAGTGATTTACATAAAGACAGTTTGAATGCCAAGCAAATCAATTAAAGTTAATCCCTTCAGAACACTATTTACATATGCTTAAAAGCATAGTCACCAACAGTTTGAAGGATTATTTTGGACTTGCTTGACTCTAAAGCTATTATTTTTAAATCTCAACATACTAGAAAGCTAAAAGTATCTATTTTGGGGGAATATACTAAATCCATGAAAGCTTTAAATAAAAATTAGCTTTCTTCATATATTTTTTGGAAAAAAATCTTCATACTCTATTGTATTTACCCAAATCCAAGAATACCTCAAATTTAAGACGACCCCCTTCTAACTGGGTTGTACACATGGAAAATTTACAAATTGGTTTATAATTTTCATATATAAAGGTGTGTGTGTGTGTGTGTGTGTTTGGGGGTGTCTTAAACTCATAGACTGCAGAGTTGGAAGAGAGCACAAAGGCTCATAATGTCTGGCCCCCTGCCCCTGGCAGGAAAAAGGTCATTACTTCCACAGTGGCAGGCAGTAAAGGGCCAAACCTCTACCACCTGTTGTCCCCTCCCCCTTCCACACCTTCTGCCAAATCTCTTCCTTTGGGGCACTCAGCAGCAGCGAGGCACTGACCTGACCTCAGCCCAGCCTGGCAAGGAAGAAGTAGAAACAGCAGCCAGTGGACTTGGTCAGGGCTAGAAGGACCAGAGCTAGAGCAGTGAGTAAGAAGGCAAGGGGCAGCTGGTGGGAGGAGGCAGGCACAGGCATTGGGGGTGGGGGGAGGTGCTTCATGGTTCTTTTCTGTCTCTCCCACACTCCACCTAGCTACATAGTTCCT